TGAATGTTGAAAACTAAAAATAAAGAAATAATTTTTAAAAAAAGATGAAAAAAAGTGAAACAGTTCCTGTTTCATTCTGTTTTGTCATTCAGACAGAGAAGAGAACATGTACATATATAGAAACATAAACAACACATACAAAATAGATGCAAGGTAACATTATGGGAAGATGGGGAGAAATTAGTGGCTGAGGAGTGATCATCAAGAAGTCCAGTAGGGCTGAATCACAGGAAGAGTGGAGGAAAGTAACATGTGATAATACTGGAAAGGTAACATGGGGCCAGGTAGGAAAGAACTTGAAATTTCAAGTAGATGAGTTTATGTTTGAGGAACCTAGAGTGAATAGGGAACAACTAAAGTTTATTGAGTTGAGTGGAGGGGAGTGACATGATAGGACCTGAGCTTTAGTAAAATAACTTATGATGGGGGTTGAGAATAGGTGATTATGTTTGAGCATTGAGACCACTTAACTTCTTGGGACTTCAGTTTTCTTATCTGTAAAATATGAGGGTTGGATTAGATGATCACTTAAGGTTGCATCAAGCTCTAATAGTCTATGACACTGTCCAACAAAGGATGAATTGATTAGTTGGAGAGATTTTGTAGATAAACAAAAATAGCCCTGTATGAAGGATTTGAAAGAGGAGGAAAAAAGCAGGATTGAGTGGCTTCTATTAAGCAAGTAGGACAAACTCAAAGAAAGCTAGGTCACTTAGAAGACTTCAGCATCAGTAGGGTTATTGTTTATCTAGCTCCTTCCTTTTGTTCCTCTCCACCTTCTAATAAAAAGAAGTTCAAGTAGTGCAGGTTCTACCACTGAGCAAATTTCTGGTTGCCTATTAGAGAAATTTCACCTCAGAAAAAGGTAACCTGGGAAATAGGCAGAGTGAAGTGGTTCCTTTCCTAGAGTAGGATGACCATGTGTTTGATTGATTTAAGGGTTGCTTGGACAGTCAGGTGCTGCAGTCACTTGGCTTGACTCATGTCTATTTGTTTCATGGAACATTAAACAAGCAACATTAGCTATGGAGTGGCTAGTATTATATAATCTTGGAAGCTTGATTCTTTGAGGTCTGAGGACTCACTGTCTCCATGTCACCAATATTTGAGTCCTGTGTGTGTGACACTTTCACTTTCGCAATGGGAGAACGCTGGACAAGAGGCTGGATGACAACTCATTGGGAGGATTGTTCACTGGATTTTTTGTTCAGGTAGGATGGGCTTAAGTATTATGGTTGGACTAAATGATCTAGTCCAATCCATACTTGAACAACAATTTTTTTCTGTTACATACCCACCCAGTGGTTATCAAGCCTTAGGAGCCTTAAAGGTTCCTATTTTGAGGTAACCCAATGCCTCCTGAAGTAGGCCATTGGCTTTTTTGGCCAGCTGTAATTGTTAGGAAGCTTTGTCCCTACATCAAACTAAAACCTGCCTTTTTGCAACTCCCACCTATTGTTTCTAGTTTTGTTCTCTGGGGACATTCAGAATAAATCTACTTGAAAATACCCCTCTTTTTCTTGAAAACATCTGAAGACAATCATGTCCCCTCCTCCTGACCCACTTATTTCTTCCCTTCCCCCAACAAATAATTTCTTCAGGCTAAAGATCCCCAGTTCCTACAACTGATCTTGCATGATCTCAAGACCATTCATCACCTTATTCACCCTCCTCTGTATCCAGCCTCTCATGGCTCCCAAAACTTGTTCATTTCTGAAGTCCACTTAACTATGAGATTCTGTGATTCTAGTTTATCTAATAAGGTGTTCGTGTATTAGTATATTAAGGGAAGGGTGATTAAAGAAAAAGTTCCAGAGATGTATCACAATATTGAGGATGCTTTAGAAAATATTTCTACTTTGGGTGGAAAGATTACATTAGATGACCTTGTCTAGGGTCTTTCCCAGCCATAAGATTCAAATGAAATTTAGGCTGTGTAGGGAGTGCTTTTAAAAATCACTGGGGAAGAGTCTTTGGGGGTTTGGGGTAGGCCTCATCATTTTTCTTAAATTTCACAAAGTAGAAAGTGAATAATTTCCCTGTGTCTAGGATAGATTGAAGCCTTACAGCACTGCTCAATCATGTAAGAGTCTTAGTGCCACTTAAAAAATACCTTGACACTGACTTAGTAAGGGTCTATGACATCACCTTCCCCCCAGCATGCTACTACTCTGGGTAGCCTCAACCTCCTCCCTTTCCAACCCAGGAAGCTTATGAATTGGATGGTTCTGAATAGGAATGCCATGTGAATGCAACACTCTTCTCTCTCCACTCTAAGAGAAGCTGAGTTTGTGCTTGGGGAAAAGCCAAGAAAAGCACAAGATTTCAGCAGAGAATCAAGGAAACACACCCACTAAGGTTCTCATAGCAACATAATTGTGCAGAGGCAACAGCCTATTTTGGTGGAAGTCTGTTTCAGCTCCCCCTCCGTATCTGTTGGAGGATGCACGATTTGAAGCCTCATGTTGTAATGCAAAGAACACTAGATGGAATGAGCATCAGGAGGCCTGTGTTTGAGTCTTGTCCCTAACACTAATTAGTAGCATAACCTTAAAATAAATCATACCACCCCTCTAGACTTTAGTTTCCTTATCTGCAAAAATGGGAAGTGGTTGAACCAGATGACATTTGGTGTTGTGTGAGGACCCCAAAACTTTGCTAGAAGATCACCTTCTGGCATCTTTGTCTCTGAGAGAGGAAGGTTCTTAGAATTGAAATTCTTGATTTGGAAATCCCCTTCCTTCTTGTATGTTAACCTCAACCCCTCTGTGTGTTGGTAAGATATAACACTTTGACACTTTGAATAATTTTTTATTTCACTGGTCAGGGGAACTCCCTTTATGCAATCCAGGGTACAATTTCTTGATGTTTGCTGTGAATCACTGTATGATTCTTCCTTATGTCTTTCCATAAGTTCTCCATAGAGGAACCACTGAGTGAACTGGAGACACTTATTTGATTCTTTCAGTATCTTGAGGGCAGCAAGTTACTAAGAGAATCAACAATACACAAGTCAGGCAATCTATCTTGTGTTTTGATACAGTTATGCAAAGGATGATGTTGGGGAATGGAGAATAATATGAAGAAAAGGACTTTTATACCTCCTCCTCCAACATCTAAGCCAACAGGTATCAGAAGGTGGTTTCTTACACTTAATTTGGCTCTCTGCCTTCACATACTGTGCCTTTAACTTTAATCCTGTTATGACCCATGATCACACAAGCTGCTATTCTCCACTGTTTGTCAGCTTCCGCCTATGCCCAGATAAAGTAGGTCCTCAACTCTTTTATTTTTCCTTAGGCTAGGCACCTGCCTTGTCACCGTGGGATTGGGGAAAAGCAGGAAGATGAAAATTCAGTGTTGGCAGAAGTGATTTGTAAATCAGATTAAAAACAGGACAGGTGAAGAACTGTTATTCCCAAAGAATAGTGGGGAGGAAAGTTAGTGAGTACTTTCTAATTTCATATCATTGATTGTGGGCTGAAAGCTGTCTATCTTTGAAGGCAGTGACCAGGGAAACCTGTTATAATGGAAAAGGGGAGAGTTCTGGTATGTGATGGTACTGGGTCTCCCTTCTCTCAGTATTTCTTCTTACCTCCGTGCCAACCCCCTTCCAACAGATGGCTTGTAATATGGAAAGAGATATTTTAAAAGTGAAGACTGTAATGCATTGTATAATGATGCACTCTCTCTTCTGCTCATACTCCTTTCAAAATGAGCAAGAGAATCCTAACTGGTGTGTGATACCCTCCCTTTCTCCCAGAAAAAAAATTCCAAAATCTTGGCGGGGGGGTGGGGGGCGGCAGCTAGGAGAATGGGTAAGAAGAACCGTGTGTATGTTGGTGGGAGGGGGGTCTAAGAAATCTCCTGGAGATGTTGTGTGCATGTGTGTGGAAGGGGGGGGTTGTGGGCGGAGATGAGAGGCACAGAAATTTATATTTAAACTTCCTTCTGCAACTGTCTCCCCACCCCCAACCAGCGGCTTTTACCCCATAGTCCCTTCCGTCTAGTTTTATAGTGGTGAGGACCCCATCAGACTTGGACAGGCAAGGGGCAAAAAGAAGCTGCTAACCAATTTCTCCCATTTTCTATTCCCCTATCTGTAATTCAGTGAAGGTTTGTCCCGAGTGGGGGGAGAGACAGAGAGAGAGAAGAGAAAGAAGAGAGGAAGAGCCGGGGCGGGGGGGGGGGGGGGGGGGCGGGAAAGATTCTCCCTCTCCCCCCCCATATCGTTTCTCATCTACAGGAGGGTATTTAGTTAACTCAGAAAGCCAGATACGAGTCCACTGCCTGAGACTGCTGATCGCTCCAGCGCGTTTTACTGTAGAAGGGAAGCGTCCGAGTCTCCTGAGCTATGTCCTCGCCTCCAGCGCAAGTTTTTCCGAGAGCCTAGGCGTGTTTCTTTAGGCAGAGAGAAACAAGGAAACCGGGGGAGGCGGGAACGAGGGTAAAAGATTAGGGGGCGACTAGCCCCTGCCCCGCCGCCTCTCGGTGCCCCCGTGGCCTGCCTTCACCACTTCCACCTCCCACCCCACCCCCACTCACCCAGCTCAGCCCCCGAGAAGACGCAAGGAGAAAGGGGTGTTGCTTAGCTCAGCCGAGCTGCAGAAGTTAAGAGGAGTTGCTGGCTGCCTTTGGGCTGCTGTACTTCCCCAGAAGCGGGGCGAGAAGCAGCTGTGCATTTGAGGCTACCTCCCTAAGCAAACCCGCAACGTGTGTGGAGTGGGGTTGGGTGGGGGAGGGGGGGTGGGGATGCAAGAGAAGAACTTGAAAGTGTGTGAAGGAATCAGAAGCAAATGAGAAGGGAGGAAAATAAAAGAAAGTGGAGACTGCTGAAAAGACTCAACCGTGGTTGATTTTTATCCCGTGTGTGCTCCTGATACAGTGTTTAGGTTTGGGTTTTGTTTTGGGGTGGGGTTTTTAGGGGCCCTTATTTTTAAAGCCACAACAGCTCTCCCTTTCTCTACTATCTATATATCTCCAACCCCTTGCTGGCTCTTATGGGCATGAAACACTCTTCCCGCTGCCTGCTCCTAAGGAGGAAAATGGCGGAGAACGCTGCCGAGAACACCGAGGTAAGAAGGCGAGAGAGCCAAGGTCCTTGGTGACCCCGGCCGCTCAGATCTGGAACCTCTACGCTGCTGCTGCTGCTGCTGCTGCTACCACCACCGCTGCTCCGTTTCAAGTGCCAAACTTTCCCTAGCTCCATCCTGCTTGCTTCTGTTGATGCTCTCTCTCTCTCTCTCTCTCTCTCTCTCTCTCTCTCTCTCTCTCTCTCTCCTCTCTCTCTCTCTCTCTCTCGTCGGGGGTAGGAGGAGGGATAAGAGAAAGCGAGTGCATGTACCAGTTCCCCTCCCCCTTGAAAATGCAAAGAAGCAGATATCACCCCCATCACCCCCTTATACCATTAGCCTGCAAGCTCTTCATCCTCTTGTTTCTGGCTTTGCGGCTCTCTGGCTGCCGGTCTTTCTCTTCTCTTACTCTAGGCTCTGCATATGTTTTTTGGGGGGAGGCAAGGCAGGATGAGAAATCAAGTAGTCAATTTCTCCCTGCTTGCAGTAGTCTAGCTATCTTTTGATTTAGCCCTTCTGGGTTCTTAAATCCTCACAAGCAGTCCTGCGGCCGGAACTGAGTCCTAGGTACTCTGGGTACTACTTCAGGACCACGGATAGGTCCTTCTCATTCAGAGTCTGAGCCGGGAGGATTACAAATTTGTAATCCTGGTTTGGTCTAAGTGCCTCGGGAAGTAAGCGTGAGGTTGGTTTGGTTATAACTAGAGATTTATTCAGTACCAGGGACAGCACCCCTGCAGTTCTCTGGAGTTTGGGGGCAGGGAAGTATGTGACTGCAGCTATTGACTCCATAAACGCCTGGGGCTGATGTCCCCTGCTTCTATGCAGCTCTATCTTTGTTCCTGACTAAGGCCCCACCTCCCCCCACTCGCCTCCTCTCCCACTTCCCTCAATTTTATCTTCAAGTCGACCCGGAGTGCTAGTCTTCTCTTATGAACCAACCCTCGGCCTGCGATTTCTCCCTACAAGCAGCTCCTAGCTAGAGCGGTGAGCGTCACTGACCTTCACGTCTTTACAACTGTAATGAGTTAAGGGGCATTAGGGCACCTGTGGTCATGAATGGGGTTAGGTTCCCAGAAAAGCGCGGCATACGAAAGTCGGTGAGGGCTTGGGGTATGAGTGTGGAGACTGCCCACTTACTTGCCGGCACGAAAAAAGAAGTAGAGAAAACTCCAGGCTCTATTAAAAGCCTGTAATCCAGTAGGGCTGCCGCACATTTCACATATTGCTACCCAAAAGCACCGGGAGGGGTGGGGACAGGGAAGAGAATGAGAGAACTATTTCTTAATCTCTCCCTCTTATCCCTATAACTCTCGTTCCTTAACACCTGCAGCAACCCCACGTAAAACACCCATCTCGATTTCTCCGAAGAGGCTGCAAGGGACGCAAAACCCTGTTCCCTGAAAGATAACCCGAAGTAGCATGTATCTGGGAATTGTCAGTCTTGGAACACACACGCTCCGGGGGCTGAAATGTGGGAGGTAGGGGGAGGTGCATGAATGCAGCTGTGAGATTTGTCAGAAATAAGGTCTCCGTATAAGGTAGACTCTAGGATACCGATCCTTTTCTTTCTCCTCAACCCCTAAATCCTCAGATAACTAATTTACAAAATGCTTCCACTTGCTAGATGGTCGGGATGATCCTTCATGTATGCCATCTGTTTTATACACCAAGGAAGCAAAGCTGCGTTGGCTCCGTTACTAGCCCTTTAAAGCTCAGTCTTTCTGCTTGCCCATCCTTGTCTTCTTGACATTTGTAGCAGAGGTTTCTAAAAATAGCGCAGAGGCCAGGACTGCACCTCTGTAAAGTGTGGGCCAGCCAGGCACGTAGCGGGACCCAGCCTCCAACAGGCTGCTGGGAGGCAAAAGAAGGCGGAAGGGGGTGGTGCGGAGAGCGGTGCGCAACGAGAAGGGGCGGGGGGAGCGTCAGGATGCCTGAGAAAGAGATTCTCAGAAGCTACTGCCACCATCCTTCCCGCCTCTCCTCGTTTTGTTTTTAAAATAAAGTTTCCGCTCCTATGTAAACTCTCTTCACCTCCCCATCCTGGATGCGCAATGTCTGGCTGGAAAAGGGCGACAGCAGCTCCGATTTCCGCAGTCTGCATTGGATAGCTAACACAAAAGCAACAGCCCACCTTAGCCTGGCTATTTTTACTGCCTCCCCGCGCACTCTTCTCCCCTCCCTTCCCCTCTGACCCCTCCCTCACATCCCCCCTCTCCCCCCCCCTCCCTCCCCCCCCCCACCCTGTGCGCCTTTCTCAACAGTAGCACATGCAGGCTTTACTTAAGACTTGGATAAAAACAGCATCTATTGCGTACAGCCAGCAAGATCGCTGGTGTACCCCAGTGCCAGGGGTAGTTGGGCTGACGGGCAGCTAGGGCTAGAGCAAGCTCCAGTGAATTCGAATCAGAGAGTTCAGTTCTTGCCACCTTCTATTGGCTAGTGACAAACTGTCTTCCTTATAAGCATGGAACCAATCTAGGTACCTCGTGATGGTTACTTGGTCACCATCCAAGAGTTACTTAATTGTCTTTCTAATGAGTTGGATCTGAAGCAGAAATTTCCTAGTGCAATTCCTATGGCTTGTTGTGAGTTCCTTGGGAGTGGGTGGGGTCTGCGAAAATGTTTTTAAAAGGTGACTAGAGTGAATGGAAATAGATCTGGAGGAGGAGCTGTAGGGGAGAATCTGAAGAGAGAGGAAGAGTTGGAAGGAGTGGGAGGGAAAGAAAGTGAATTAACGGGGAGGGGGAGGTGAAAGGCCACTCTAAAATAGTAGAACACGGGACTTGGAGTGTGGAATCCTGGGTTTGAATTCTTAGCTCTATGTGACCTTGGGTAACTTACTCTCTCTCAGTCTCCTAGTTTTAGTTTCTCCATTTGTAAAATTGGAAGAATAATATTTTTTTACAACCCACCTATCAGAGTTATTTCAAGGATCAAGGGAATTAATAGTATTTAGTAAGTGATACAGCCAAATATAACTCTGGTAGGAAAGGAGGGAGAAACTGAAGAATTAAAATACCAACAACTTCATTGCAGAATCCTTGCCTGATCATTGGCCAATAGACTGAAAATTAGATTTTATATGACTTTCCTATGTAACTTTGGGCAAGCTTGAATGAGCACTAGAATTGCACATTAGTTGACCTGTATCTGAGTCCTAACTCGGGCTCTGGCACTCTATGTGACCTTGGGCAAGCCACTTAAAACCCCTTTGAGCCTACTTTTCCACATCTGCAAGATGGGGATAATAATGCTTCTACCTACCTTGCAGGATTGTTGTAAAAAAAGTACTTTGTAAAAATAAAATTACTATGTAAATGTAAAGCAGCTCAATATAGTGGATAGAAGTGCTGATTTGGGAGTCTGGTTGACCTGGATTCAAGTCCAATCTCTGACAAGACTGATTGGATAGGCAGGTCAATTGATTACTTAATGCCCCTGGACAACTCTCTGGGGTTCTAAATTACAAAGGAATTGCTGATATTCTTGGTAGAGGGATTTTCTACAACATAAGTTTCCTACACTGTAGAAATCACAAATCTGCTTTCCTCTCTCCTGCTTCTCTCGAATGTAAATGTGAGTTATTATTAATCTTTCCAGGCCTCAGGTCCTCAAGGTTTTATGTAAATTATCATTTCCACCTAAGACCCCCAAATTAAGAGCTGTTAGAAACCTTAAAGAGTAGCTAGATAAGGAAAGCCCAGAGCTGTTAAGGGACTTGCCTAAAATCACACAAACAGAACAGGGATTGGGATGCTGGTCCTCTGACTTCAAGCCAATTTCTTCACTAATCCATACTGTCCTCTCACCTGACCAAACATAGACTCAAGTTGAGGAGACTGTAAGCACCGAAGGAATGTGGTTTTGCTTAAACTTTGTTTGCCCCCTCCCCTTGTCCTAGCACAGAGCTCTGGAGAGGATAGGCACTTAATCATTATTTGCAGAATTGAGTAGAACTGATGAATATGAGCAGAGCTGCCCAGAGATCTGACAGTAGAAGGGCTTCAGCAACTGTAACACAATGAATGAATGAATACTTTTGGATTATTCATACTCCTATTCAAGATCTGACAATTATTGACTCCTACTGTGGGGCCCTCACTTGAATCACACATAAATGGATTAATCACAATCCACAATTCTGAACTATGAGGGCTTATGGCCCCCTCTGAGCTGTTCTTTGCTTTACCCGAGTCCCAGTGAATGACTGGTGCTTTCTTGCTGTTGATGGCTGCTCTATTCTTTATCAAGGAGAAAAAGAACCAACCCCTCACCCCCTCCAGGGGGTTTTAAAACTGGTTCAGCAAAAAAATTGCTTTGGAGATCAGATTTAGAAGCATTTTGAATATTTTTATGCTGACCCTGGGAATTATGACTAAAAATAAATCTAATTTGGTGAAAGGGGCTGGTACCAAGTGAAACAGGTAAAGTGAAGAAAATGGGTAACAATTCTTAAAACATGTCAAGGGGATTCTATTCTCCTGTGGTATAATCATCAACAAGTGACTGCTATGTTCTATGCTGGGCCCCCAGGGCATACAAAGAAGAAAGAGATCTGCTCTGTGTTACTGATAATCTAGCTGGGAGTTAAGTCATACACATTAAAGCATTATTAGTAAAAAAGAAAACAAAACAAAAACAAAAGCAAAAACAAAAACAGAGCAGCATGTAGAAAATGGGAGATCAAGCTTATTCTAATACTTAAGAAATGCCTGGCCTGACTAGTAGTATGAGGCTTTAGAAAATCTCCTTCTAAATCCTTCACTTATAAAGATGTCAAAGAAATGATTTGTCCAAGATCACACAGCTAGTTAATGGCTTAGCTCAGACTCAAATGCAGGTCTCCTGAATTATAGTTCAGATCTTTTCCTATTGAATCTAAATGTACTCTAATATGTAGGATCTAGGCATGGTTTTATGAGCTAACAGAAAAGATTTAAAAATGGAATGCATACTTTGGTCAGCTGCTTTGAACTGAACTGTGTGGGCTTACCCTCCTT